CTCATTTCGAAAGCCTCGATCTTTTTCACACGTTCAGCAGTTAAGGTCCAAGACTGGCAAGCATAAAGGAATATGGATAAAACAATAGCATTGAGTAGACGTACATGTAATTTCGAGCCGATACTGATGTTTCTATCCCTCCAGATTGTTACTAGTCGTGCAACAGCAGCCGAGGCTGCTGCGATCCGACTCCTCACTTCTTTGATTGAACGCTGATCATCAGTAATCGTGCTACCCAGATATTTAAACTCGTCAACCTGCTCAAGCTGCTACCCGTAGATGGCTATGCTTGCGGACAGACCTTTGCTTGCTCCCGTAGCAGCTTACTCTTCTCAGTGCTGATTTCCATGCCGTATGACTTTGATGTGCTGGCCAGCCGGCCAGTAAGGTGTTGCAGTTCTTCCTCGTTGCCAGCCACCAGATCAATGTCATCTGCAAATCGCAGGTCTGTTATAATGCGTCCACCAATGCTAATGGAACCCGCGAATCCCTCTAATGACGTAGATACCAGTTCTTCCAAGAAAATGTTGAATAGAGAGGGTGATACATAACCCTGGGGTTATGTACTCTTGATATTAGGGATATGCAGCTGCAAAAACGAAACGTCGACCAATGCGGATGCAGAAACATTAAACAGTCCAGAACGGGGCCGTATTCGGGTGAAAGACAACGAAGCAGGACTGGGGGTCACGTTGTACTTATTTAATAGGCCTTCAGGTGCATGACCTCTTCTTTGAACTGTGTAGACTCTACTAACCTTTACCAAGAGTTCATAACTCTACGAACTCTTGCCTTTACTTATATCGAACACAAAGCCTCAAAGGGTTACCAAGATCTGCGCGCGTATACGATAGCGGACAACTGTATTCAATTTTGGCACATAAGGTAGCAGAGTTCATTGCACTACTCCCTGGTTTGGCTCCATGTTGTCGAATCTAGACCCGGTTAACGCGGTTAACGCGGTTGTCGGGCGACCGAGGTGAATGCAGCGAGCAGGTAAACGTACCAATTCCTTGTACGGTATTCCGCAGGTGCTCTTTGGGCCTGACGACTGGCGAGATCATGTGCAAGGGCAAGGGTACAGGGTAGGAAAGGCTGGCTTAGCAGTTTCAACAGTCTTACTGGTCCTCTTGGAAGGAAAGAAGCCAGCCAGAAAAGTGAAGTGGAAATTAATTACCCATATAAAAACCGCTCTGTGAGCGGTTCTGAAAAACCTCTACTGGTGCAGCCCCGTCGTAAAAGTAAGAAATTAGGACTGGTGCATTGTCCTCCCAAATGTGAACTGATCCACCTAAATCGCGATTGACGGGACCCGAACGCACCAGTAGCACGAGGTTCCTACCTGTGGATGCAGCTGGGGACGCTGGTCCATAGCCAAAGCCAAAGGTGGGCTTCGGGGTTCTGTGTAAGTGTTGTATGGTAACTTGATCGGCGCCGGTCCATTGCTGTAATCCTGTGCCCTCCCGACCTCGTGCTACTGGTGCGTTCGGGTCCCGTCAATCGCGATTTAGGTGGATCAGTTCACATTTGGGAGGACAATGCACCAGTCCTAATTTCTTACTTTTACGACGGGGCTGCACCAGTAGAGGTTTTTCAGAACCGCTCACAGAGCGGTTTTTATATGGGTAATTTCAGTTCTTTTTCTGTTCCCTCCCCCACCCCGGCCCAGCTCCGAAGATAAACATGGTGAGCATGCGCGCGATGCACTGTATGTAGCCATGCGATTGCAGTAGCACACGGATACATTCCAGCCCTTTCCACCTCGCTACCCCGCACACAGACACATTGTGACAAACAAGCACATGCACATGCACATGGCACACACATACACACACAGTGACACATACACACACAGTGACACACACACACACACACACACACACACACACACACACACACGGCCCAAACAGGAAAATTCTTGATGAACATTGTATAATGCCATGCAAAGCAGTGGCCACCATACTTCAGGAAGTCAGTTGTGAAACAAAATAAAGGTAAGCTGGCAGCCAAAGCACAACATTGCAAACCGTGATGATATTTGCGTAAGGATTGCAGTTTGCAGACCACACCATGGAAGTAGTGAGTGCAGAATGATTGTAATGTCATACAAAGACAAGCAAAGAAGTGGCCACCATACACCAGAAACTTGCAGAAAGTCACATATCCAACAGATAGAGAAGTGAACAGCATCTGGTACAGCCCACACAAAACCAAGCTGACCTGATACTCGTCCGAAGATCGTAAGTGGCAGATCCTTTTCAACGATAGCATGCAGGTGTACGTTCACGCATGGACAAAATCTGACCGTGTCACCGGCATACGTTGTCATCACATGCACAGTAGCAGCACAATAAAAGCAATGGAAAAAATGAAGGGGTTGAAGGGGTTGCTGACACTTCAAATTCAGACTTCAATGTGGTCGTCACGGGATGATATACCTGCAAGATACAAGTGATGCAGAAAGAAAGCATAAGGTCGTGAGGTAGGCTATGAGACACCACAAATGGGTCACCTACATGTATGTTCAGGGCTGGTGTACACACACACACACACACACACACACACACACACACACACACACACACACACACAGAATTATCATAATCGAGAATTTCCTAAACTGAAAAGAGCAATGAAATCCACTTGCATGCACAGGAGCAATTTTGCAGTATGATGCGCAGCTCGGGAATACACCTGTTGGCAATGGATTACATTCCCATTGGAATTCCTATTCACGTGGGAGTCACAGAAGCAATTTGGCAGTGTGCTGCGCAATGCGGCATGACCTGCAATTCTGCGTGCGATGCAAACTCGCACAAAATACCATTCACAGAATCACGACAAGACGTAAGCGATGCAACAGCGCCTTGCTGACGTGCCTCAACTTGTCAAGTCAAAGCTCAACGAGAATGCGTTTGTCGGCTACAACTGGTACAAATGTACAAGCAATTTCCGAAAATGCTCCTGTGAATCCTGCTTTAAATGTTCCTCCTCCACTCTCCCCCCCCCCCCCCTCCACACCCTCAGGGAACTTGGCAAGGAAGGGTGGTCTTCCCGGTTCCCAACATCTATTTGCAGTTTCTCGTCTCCACTATGTCTTTTCAATGGGGATTTGTACGTACCATAAAAGCAAGCCTAAAATGAACAGCACATTTGCCGTTCCTCCACTGGGGAGGATGCGTTCCACAGCTATCCTGACAAGATATTCCGAGAAGCGGTGCTGAGTGCAATCAAGAGTACATGACCTCCGGGGTTATGTACTCTTGGTGCAATGCATTGTGAAACATCTGGCTTAAAAGTTGACAACAACGGCGCACGCACATAAGCAACGGCCACCTTACCTGTACTGTAGCAGTACTTCCGAGTTCCCGTATGGGAGTTCCCTCACTGTGTGTGCAATAGCAGCCTCATCGAACCAGTTCAATGCGACGCGGACAGTCCGACACTGAGGAGGACATTGAAGAAGTCAGAGACAGGAAGAATGGTTGATTTACAACTCAACTAGCAAGGCTGCACACCCACGAAGTTCCACTCACCATTGTGCCGTCCTTCTTGGAATGCAGAAATAACGCTTCTTCTCGAGAACGCAGCCTGTGACAGAGAAAAAGGAAGGAGCATCGCCATCAGCATTGGTCCTCTGCTATCATCGATTGCCGATTTGCACAGTTCAATCTAACAAGACTGAGGACGTTCAAGAACTCCCCATCCATACCATCATTGGAGTACTTGTAAGAGGAAAGGTCAGATTGCCCAGTTCCACCCAGCATTCCTGGATGCCAGGATAGATGTGCTGCCCTCCGCCCCTCCCTTCTACTGCCTGGAAAGGGCAACATATGTGACAGCGTTCACCAGTACAGTCGGAAGAGAACATGGGAGAAGGCAAAAAAGGGCAACACACATGAATCCCTTATAAACAAGCAGTGGCAATTCTAGCACCAGCAATGTTTATTGTTGGACTTACATGTACATCCCAGCCATTGCCGCCGGATTCAGCGGCTTCTTCTTCTTCGTCTCCCATCTTGGAAGCACTCCTTCCCGTAAGTTCAGTCCTGGGAGTACAGTCGGAGGAGGACGTCGGAAAAGGCAAAAAAGGGCAACACACATGATTCCCTTATAAGCAAGCAGTGGCAACTCTAGCACCAGCAATGTTGGACTTACATCCCAGCCATTGCTGCCGGATTCCCACGCTTCTTCTTCGTCGTCTTCCAGTTCCCAGGTTCCATCTTGCAAATACTCCTTCCCGTAAGTAAGTGCAGTCCTGGCCTGGGTGGATGCGCAGTACATTGACGATGGCGGAGATGGAGCAGGTCAGGGAGCCCTACAGGGTCCCGAGAGCAGATTGCGGCCAAATTCGGGACGATGCCGGACGCCAGTCAGTATGAAGTAGCGAATTGCGGATCGCCACGTAGATTGGGGTCGCGGGGTCATAATCCACGGGCACTACTCGTACGTTGCTCCAAAAAAGGGCACTGCACTGTTCCACAGTTGCTGTTAGCGGTCCCCAAAGGCCCTTGGTAGGCCGGTTATTGGGTCACGTGTCAACAAAGTGTCAACAAAGTGTCAACAACGTGTCGACCACGTGTCTTTAGCGGTACACTAATTTTGGTGTCCCCAAACTGAAAACATCGAGCACCAGTATGGAAAGGCTTTAGACAGAAAGCCTTTCCAATACCATCTAAGGGCGCGTTCAGACTACCGATAAAAAGTGACCGATAGGGAAAGTCGCCAAGGTGATTTGATCACGTGACGTTACTGGCACGTTACCGGTGGGAAAGTTTTACTGCCGCGGCTGATGCGGCAGTAAACTTTTACCGGCAGTAAAAAAGTGCTCAGGCTGCATGCGCGCTGCGAAAAAAAGGGAAAATCCCTTGTCAGTGCCGCGGTGAGAGCTGAAAACTTCACGGTCACGTCAGTTTGTTATCGGTAGTGTGAATGTCCTTCACGGTTTATCGGCATTCACGGTTTGACGGGGTTCACGGTAGTCTGAACGCGCCCTAAGCAGTGGGAAAGCAACTTGGCTGGTAGTGAACACGTTCCTTTGCTGTCTCTTTCAACATAGTGGAGTCTCTTGTCGTAGATGTAAGGTGGCTAATTTGATCACCGTGGCACAATGTCAAACACCTCAGGCTTCTGTGGTACTGAAGTGCCGGATGAAATGGCCATGTATACCGATAATTCCCTGAAATCACTCCCTGGCCGTTGCCCAAGGCGACTACTTCCAGTGATTGTCCTTCTCGTCACACTAACGGCTGTACAGTCTTCACATTCCGTGGATTATGATCAAGAATTAGCTTCTGGCCATGAGCGCCTTCGACAACTTGCACACCGCTATGAGACAGTACATGTTGACACGGCTCACCACCTGCACGGAGTTCGGAAACGTCGAGCGACTCATGGAGACGACAACTATAGCCACCCACCTTCCACCAACTTTGACATCCAGGCCTTTGGGAAGACATTTCGCCTGCAGCTGGAGTTAAACACTATGCTGTTACCGGTTGGCACACAAGTACGCTACTTCAAAGCGAATGGAGAGCTTGTTGTGGATCATGATGCTGTCAACTGCTATTACCAGGGTGAGATGGATGGATTTAGTCATGGAGCAAGTCATGCTGTAATCAATACATGCAATGGAATTTCTGGATCATTTGGCATAGGACCAGCTGGTCACTGGACAATGGAGAGGACCTTTTTCATTGAACCACTGACCAAGGAACCCACTCCCAATGGCACCCACCTTCATGCTGTTTACAAAGCGGGTGACTCGAAAGAGAAAATTCACTTCGGGAGTTGTGGTGTATCAACTAACAAAAGCCAAGACCATGCATCACCACTAGACCTAGCACAGGGCATTCTGAATGTGGACAAGGACACCATGCACATTCACCAACGCACTAAACGCCAGACTTCCTCATCGACCGAGCACTATGTGGAGCTACTAATTGTGCTGGATGTAACACTCTTCAGGAGCAAGATAGTAAATCAGGACATGACCGTTGCTACAAACCGTGCTCGTTCTGTCACTAATTTCGTTGACTCGCTCTACAGAAAACTGAATATCCGTGTGGCTCTGGTAGCTGTGGAGGTTTTCAACAGAAGAGACGGCTTTACCACATCAAGCGATGCAGGCATAATGCTTACCAATTTCCTGAAGTACAGAGTGGATAAGCTTGTGGGTCGTATTCACCATGACAATGCCCAACTCATGACTGGACGTGACTTTGATGGTGACACCATTGGCCAGGCAACAATCGCTGAAATATGCTCACCGACTAGATCTGGAGGTGTCAACCAAGACACAGCATCAGCTTTCTCAGCGGTAGCAGCCATAATCGCACATGAAATGGGTCACAATCTTGGAATGAAGCATGATGATAGACATGGCTGTGATTGCACTGCCACGTCTTGGACTGGTGGTTGTGTCATGGCTGGAGAAGCCGGCCATCTTCCACCGAATTCGTGGTCCAGCTGCAGCCGCTCTGATCTCAGCACATTTCTATCACATGGTGCTGGTCACTGCCTTAGCAACAAGCCAACAACACTATTTGGTGACCCGGTATGCGGCAATGGTTTTGTGGAGGGCACCGAGCAATGTGATTGTGGTACAGCAGCACAGTGCACAACAACATGTTGTAATCCAGCTACATGTCGTTTCACCACCGGTTCTCAATGCAGCGATGGTCCATGCTGTCAAAACTGCCGCTATCGGACTCCGGGTACACTCTGCCGCTCTGCTGTGAACAGCTGCGACGTAGCTGAGACATGTTCAGGCCTGACACACACTTGTCCCAATGATATATTTGCACAGAACGGCCAGATTTGCGGCTCGGGGTCATTGGCATCATTTTGCTACAATGGACAATGCAACACTCACGATACTCAGTGCAAGAGAACATGGGGAACATCTGCAGCCGTTGCTCCTCAGATCTGCTACGATCAAAACCAACGGGGCTCTTGCGGTCTCCTTCAATGTACCGGCGGAGCAGCCTTTGCCATAATCTCGTCATCAAGCCGAACAAGCACTATCACAATAAGATATAGCCAAGGCACAGTCGTCTGCAAATCAACTACAATCCCGCTAACTTCGGACATGGTCGATTTCAGCTTAGTGGCCGATGGTTCTCCATGTGGATCAAGCTCGCTTTGTGTCAGCTCACGTTGCAGATCGATAAGTTCACTTGGCATTACACCATGTCCATCAAGTCGTGGTAGGGTGTGTGCAGGAAATGGTGTGTGCACAACTCTCAACTCATGCTTGTGTAACCGTGGCTGGACAGGTGCTGACTGCTCACGTGCAACTAGTGGTGCTGTTAATGGTCGGTGGAGTCCTTGGACAGTGTGGTCAGGCTGCTCCCAATCCTGTGGTACAAGTGGTGTAAGGACACGCACTCGGGACTGTGATAATCCTCCGCCAAGTAATGGTGGTGCGGTATGCCGTGGTGCAACTAGTGACAGGGAAACATGCAACCGCGTTCAATGTGCCACACCTGTCAATGGTAACTGGGCAAAATGGAGTGCATGGTCTAGAATGCGGAGCTGGAACTCGTTCTCGCCAACGTACATGCAACAACCCATCACCATCCAATGGTGGATCACGATGTCCTGGTACTGGAACCACGAGGGAAATATGTGAAACAGAAGCTTGTCCCGTGGATGGTGGATGGAGTCCTTGGACAGTGCGGACGCAATGCTCCCAGACCTGTGGCACAGGTGGTGTAAAGACACTAACTCGGACCTGTAACAATCCTACGCCAAGTAATGGTGGCAAACCATGTCATGGCATACCTAGCAACCGGCAACCATGCAACCGTGTTCCATGTCCCACCGCACCGGCCGTCAATGGCAACTGGTCAGACTGGGCATTATCCGAGTGCTCACATACATGCGGAGGTGGAACTCATGTCCTTGAACGCACATGCAGCAACCCTGAACCATCCAATGGCGGCAAGACTTGCAGAACTGATGGGGTCAGTGTTGAAAGCTGGCAACTACCGTGCAACACCTATTCTTGCGCAAACTGAAACAGGTTCTGGGTCAGCCTTCTCCGAATCTTGCCACGGGCGGCTGAATCGAACTTGTCATGAGGCATAGTCAACAGTGTTCTTTGTAGTATTTCCTGTTCTGTGTGTGTTGCCACCTATTCCTAGAGACATCCAACACTCCCAGGTTATGGGCGGAAATGGTGAAGGTTTCTTATCAGTAGATGGCACATTACCAGCGTATCCTGTGTAACCACTGGTAACTGACTTTTCCCATCTGTGTATGTGTGTTAGGTAGTCCTGGCTGAGCAATGACGCTGGCATTGGAACTGTGGAGTTCAACGGGTCGTAGACCTAGTCCGCGATATTCCGTATTCAAGTTGAATGAATGCACTTACCAGGGATCAAACAGATCTCAAGCTGATGTTTGCAATATCAGTAAATGTTCAGATTTAGCATCCTGTGTACTACTGAATGCCGTCACTTCCAGAACTCTTTACATGTATATTCTGAGATTATTCTCTATCTGAATTGGCAAAGTTGTCCGTTTTTTCGTTTTCGTGTTTGTTTTCAGCAATATTATGCTCAATATAACTATTATATTATACCCAGCTCATATTAACCCCCACTAATTCCTGTTATCTATAACTGGGGTTTGTATCTCCATAAACACTGTCTATAAAAAAACCTCAGCTACGCCTCGGTTTTATAGTAGTCGTCATCCCAGCAGAGTAAATAACCTTTAATACTTCAAAATATAATAATTAATTCTACTCTTGCTATCACCATTCACCAAGAGTACATAACCCCCTCCCTAAGATCGTCTTCTACAAGTATTGCCAAAGAGTCTAAAAACCTGAAACCTTAACTGGGTTATGTACTCTTGCTATTACCGTAGTACCAAGAGTACATACTGTGACCCCTTGTAGTTAAAAAAGAAAGAAAGAAAAAAGTCATGTTGGGTTATGTACTTTTGGTATTACCAAGAGTTATGCACATACTGTTGATGGAGCCCCCCCCCATACGCATGAGCTTATGGTATTTTTAATGGGAACCCAATTTTCAAGTGCTGGATTCATGAAAGGAATCTGTTACTAGTCACTCCCGATAGGACAATATCTGCAGGTTGTTGTTTGAATTCTTTTATTCTCACGATGGCCTGTGGCCAATAAGAGAAAGTTGTTGTTGTTGTTGTTTGAATTCTTTTATTCTCGCGTTGTTGTTGTTGTTGTTGTTGTTGTTGTTGTTGTTGTTGTTGTTGTTGTTGTTGTTGTTGTTGTTGTTGTTGTTGTTGTTGTTGAATTCTTTATTCTCACGATGGCACCATCGCCAATAAGAGATAAATTTATGAGAAGGTGAGATTGTGGGTTAAACAGTTGGAAAGTGATTTACATCACTTTGAACTTTACAAGTATGGGAGAGGGTGAGCGCTGCAGGAGCAGATTGAGTTAATCAGCAGTGAGCAGATTTCTTGTTTGAAAGCAGGTCGGGAGGAGACGTCACGAATGCTAGCAGGGAGGGCATTGTAGTATTCTAGGGACTTGTACAGTGGGGAGTCTTTCCAGCGATCGGTTCTGGAGGGTGGGAGGTTGTTGTTGTTGTTGTTGTTGTTTGGCTTTATTTAGAGTGGAGTTCCAAAACAGGCCTAAATCTAATGACAATGGTCCCACTGATAATAAGAGAAAAGAAAAATATATAAAAATAAGCGGACAAACAGAACCGAGAAGAAGATAGTTAGATAACTAATCAGGTGCTGATAAGCTGCCGCTCACTGAATTTTGATGCTGGTGGGTGCGATTCTGATACCAAAGCCATGGGGTGGGGACCATGCTAGGTGGATTGGATAGGTATACATGTACTCCCTAGCAGCAGGGACGAAAATAGGCAAACGGTTCAATTCACACTATATGTATAGACTAGTAGTGCTAGTAGTGCTGTCCGCAGATTGAGTGTATAGACAAGTATGTATGTATGTATGTACATGTATGTACATGTATGTATAACTCATAATCACAAGGTGATCGTAGAGGCATTAATCAGCGAGAGAATTGTGAATGATGTCTCTGAATCCAACTCTATCGTGTGCTGCATGCGAGAGAGCATGCAAGGGAAGACCCGTCCAACTTTCGATGTTAGAAATCCATGATGCCGCGGGCCTTCCTCTGAGTCTCGGTCGAGATCCAAGAGTTGATCCTTGCAGGACTCTGAGGGCTTGGAGAAAACGCCATGTCTCGTAACATGACCAAACCACATCAACTTAAATTTCTTGACTTCGTTCGCTAGCCGCATCCTTGCTCCGATGATGCCATTGATTTCTTCCAGGATAGATTGGTTGGTACGCCGGTCGTGGTATGTTACTCCTAAGAGTCGGCGGAAGCATTTCATCTCGAAGGACGAAATTCTTCTCATTGATGAGGCAGCGAGGTTTTGTATTGTATTGTATTGTAGAACTATTTGCATTTCTGGATTCTCCACAGGCCTTAGCCTAAATCGAGGGAGTCTCCGTCAACAGCTTATGAAGAAGAAGAAGAAGCTGAGGAGAAAAATAAAAATAAAAGATAGAAAGATGCGGGGTGGTAGTAATCACTGTCACAGTGCTCTGTGACATCGTTACTCTACGTGGAATGAAACCAGAGGGCTCATAACGGGTGATAGCAAAGTGAGTGCGGACAAGAGCGATAAAACATCTTGGGCTGGATACAGTACGAATGGCAGCTGGGAGGGAGTTCCATGTGCCAGTGGTGACAACGAGAAAGGTGGCACGGGTGTGTGTGTGCTGGCCCTAGCAGGCGGGAGTAGATGTTGGGGGCGCCTGGCGCTGTTTGATACTGTGTAGCCTAGGTCGTCATCTGGCTTTTTTATTTTTTATTTTTTATTATTCTTCGGAAAACACTGAATTGAGATAAATATATGACGCCATGCTAGACTAACTATGTGGAAGGTAATACTGCATACCAGTGTAATGAGAGTTCACATAATAAAATAAAAAAAATAATAATAAATTTCACGGTTCGCGTGAGACTCGGCTGGAAGCCGAGTTTTCCGCATCCGCCGTGGGAACGCCACCACCCTCTAGGATCAAAGGCGCAGATGCAGCGCCTAAACGGTGGGAGGTGAGTAGATCAGACCCACCACCAAGTGGTCAAAGACCGAAATCCCATTAGCTGCATCCATGATAATAGTAGCAATTTATCATGTTTCAAGTCTGTGTTCGAAACTTCATAACAGTTTCTCCAATTGCAAGAATCGTGCAATATTGTAGGGAGAGTCGGCTACAGCTTGTCTGACGGATAGGCATATGCGGATAATGCCGGCAGAAAAATTGGCAGAATTCGGTACTTTTTCTGGTAAGTTTCATGCATGTTTGGCATGTGGATAAAGAAATGGAGCAGAATTCGAGGAATTGCCCGCCATAAGGTTTGTATGGTTCTGCCAAATGCACTGCTTTTCGAGCAGAATCTGCCACCTTTTCGAGCATTATCCGCCAATGCTTACTGACGGATGAAGACGACTGAAGAGCTGCAGAGTGACGCTTTGTGCTCTTCCTGGGCAGTCGAAAAGGCTATAGAGCATCGCTGGCCAAGTGAGGGTCCCTGGTTCTAGTCCTAGTGGTGAAAGTCAATGTTTTCTTCAGACTTTTCCCGTTTGCGTCTTACCCTCAAACCAGTGAATTATTTACTTTTGGTAATACATGTAGGATTTTCACATGAAGAGAACTAAGTTGAAAAGTCTCTACGGGTAGGGGTAATCGGATTACGCTCGGGAAATGACCAGATTATGCTCTAGCGGATGCTCGCAAGATGCTCGAGAAAACAGCCAATTATGCGTTTACATGCACATGTACATGTTATTGGATATTCTTCATCAAAAAGACCCAAAGAACACATGATTGTCATGAAAAAAGGACTCAGACCATTGTCATGTTATCAGTGAAGCCAAACACATCAAAAACCGCTATTCTCTGCTTTCCTCCTCGCCCCAATAGTGACTTGTCTGTATTAAGTCCCTCGCCTTTCACGTTCCCTGATGACCGTACCTGTCTCTCAATAGTCGATCAGCACAAACACCTTGGGATTATCCTGGATCAGCATCTGTCCTTTGATCCCCACATTACGTATCTGGAGAAACGTGCAAGTTCTATTGTTGGCTTCCTCTCCTCTCACTTATCTCATTTCCCCCGTGATTGCCGTTTAATGCTGCATAAATGCTATGTTCTGCCTGTATTTGACTACTGTTCCTCCATTTGGGCTGGCATCCGCACATCGCTCACGAATCGTCTCGATAATTCAGCGATAATTCGCTGTCTTTGCTATTCCCCGTTTGATGCCCTCTCATACTGTCTATGCCATCGCATCCAGCTGCCCTCTCTCTAACAGGCTCAGGCTTTCATCATGTAAACTAATTCATAAAATTCGTCTTGGTCTTGCCCCACCTCATGTTTTATCCAGCTGGTTTCATCAGTCCTCAGCTACCCGAAACTCTCTCTGCTTCGCTATCTCTCGCATAGCCACTCTTCTGAAGTCTCCTCTATTTTTGGCATAATATTATACACATTGGTCGTTGCTGTCACAGGACCTCAAGACTTGCCAAAGACTTTCCACTTTTGCTACTTTACTTCGCTAGGTATGCACTTGTTCTGGGCCACTGTGTAATT